CGATGGTGAAATTCCAGAAATAACCCAGGGTGACAATCAGAATGCCACCGATAAATGGGCCCAATATCCTGGTTCCGGTAATCGTCAATACGTTGGCGGCGAGAGCATTGCCGAGCATTTCGCGAGGTACTGTGCCCGCGATCAGGGACTGGCGCATCGGCTGCGTCATGGAATGGCAGGTACCCGCCAGGATGACGTACATATATGCGTGCCAGACCGCCACCCGCCCCGAAAGCACCAGTAGGGCGAAGGAAATAGCCAATGCCGCCATCACAACTTGTAGAGCGATGACCAGCTTCCGACGGTCGAATCGGTCGCTCAGCACGCCACCCCAAGGGCCGAAAACCAGACCGGGCAGGGTGTTGATGCCGCCCACTGTCACCACCAGTAGCCCCGCAACATTGGAACCTTCAGACAGTTCGCGCACCAGCCAGCCCACGCTCAGCAGTTGCAGCCACTGAGCATTGTTGGCGAAGAAATTGCCGATCCAGAGCAGGCGGTAATTCCTGTACCCTAACCATGCGTCCAGCGTATGGAAACGCGGAATTGAGGGGACGCGGAAAATAATTCTTCCTCCCGAGTCGCGCGGGCAGGTCGGCGAGGTTGCGCAGGCGCCGGCGCCGAACCAGTAGGCATTTTGCCCCGCGCCACCAAAACAGTCAATGCTGTTGAGCCGATGGTATCAATTACGCCGATACACTTACGCCGATATACCGCCGAGCGGGACGCTCACTCACTCGTACCCCGAGCGGGTTCTAGGGCAAGGTGCGCACTCGCCGGAGTACGGCGACGCAAAGAATGGTCGCTGCCAACCCCAGGCCGCCCAGGGTGAGTATGGCGATAGATGCGGAAGTGGAGTCGGCCAGTATTCCCACCAGCACGCTGATTCCGGTCAGGAATGCGCGCTCGTAGGCCAGCACGCTCATGGTACGGGCGCGGAATCGGTCGGGCACAATGGTTAGCACGACGATACCCTGCGTGGTGCGGAAGTAGGCCTGAAACATCGACATCATGGCCAGGAACACCAGCGCAGCCGGTAGCCACGATGAGAACGCAAATATCATCGTGCAGACGGAACTCATTGCCGCGGTGGCCAGCATGATGTAACCCTTGCGGTAGGGGAGCCCGAAGGATGCGATCGCAAGGGTTGCAATTAGGCCGCCCACCCCGGTAACTGCCAACAGGTAGCCGCCCATATTGGCATCTCCCATCAATACCTGGAAGGTGAACAGTGGAAGCAGGAACCAAACCGGATGTAGTATCGTGTTGGGGACGACGGACAGCACCATGATTTCCAAAATTTCGCGTTGATCTCTCCAGAGGTGCATGATCCCGGCTCGGAAGTCAGCGAAGGGGTTGAATCGCCGCCGCCCGGCATCCGGCATGTCCGAGCTATATGGCATCTTCATGGGTAGCAGCAGCAGAACAACCGCGAGGTAAAGAGCGTGCCTCCAGCGCTCGCAAAGTCCAGACAGAATCCGGTGAGAGATGAGCAAGCCGCCTATGAACGGCCCGAATATGCGCGTGCCGGTTACCGTGAACACGTTGATGGCGTAAGCGTTGACCACGGCCTCTCGCGGCACTACGTTGGAAACCAGCACCTGCTGCATCGGTTGGGATATGGCTAGGCACGCGCCGGAAATGATTACGTAAGCATAGGCGTGCCAGGCACGGATGAAATCGCTGGCGACCAGCAAGGCGAAGGAGAATGCCAGCACTGCGCTGAATGTCTGCACCGCCATGATCAGCTTGCGACGGTCGAGTCGGTCGCCGAGCACGCCGGTGAGTGGGTTGACCAACAGCATCGGTAAAGTGTTGATCGCGCCGACCGATACGACCAGCAAACCGCCGATCAGGGAACCCTCTGACAGGTATTTCACCAACCAGCCGATGCTGAGTAATTGCAACCACTGGGCGGTATTGCCGGCATAGTTCGCCAGCCAAAGCAGCCGGAAGTCCCGGTATGCCAGCCACGCATCCAACGTGTGCAGGCGGGGCAATCTGCGTGAGGAACGGATGGGCTCGGCCTTTGGGGAGTCAGTTGCCAGAAAAGGTACGTGAGGCGCAACCTCTGCGTAACGTCAACCGAAACATATTGGGACTGACGCCCGGATGTTGTCAACTCAAAAAACCATGACTGAGATTGATGCGTTCCCCTGCGACGTCAGCGAGCCGGTCCCACTACGGAATCTCCGAACGGAATTCGATGTCGGCTATGATATGATTACGAGGCGCTGGCCGAGTGGAAACCCGGGTGGCGAAGTTGGTTGACAGCATCAGGAAGCTACCCGAATGACCATCGCAGATGAGGTATTTACCACCTCATTTCGCGGCCAGGATACCGACCGCGCCCTGCTTGCCCACCTGTTGCGTCGGGCTGGCTTTGGCGCCACGCCGGCCGAGTTGGAAACCCACTGCTCGAGGGGCTACGCCGCAACGGTGGAATGGTTGCTGCATCCCGAGATTCAACCAGGGTTGGATGAAGATATTATCGAGCGGTATTACATCGACTGGAAGGAAAGCCGCAACATCGAAGGCGCTCTCACCGAGACCGTATATCGGATGAACGGCAATGCTGGCACGCGCCCGTTGCAGGAAAAAGTTGCGCTGTTCTGGCACGGAGTGTTCGCCACCGGATTGGCCAAAGTTCTGCACGAGAAAACCATGCTCAACCAGATGGACCTGTTCCGGGAACACGGACTGGGCAGCTTCATGGATTTGCTGGCGCATCTAGCCCGCGACCCGGCGATGATTTTCTGGCTGGATAACAACTTCAATCACAAGGATGCCATCAACGAAAATTGGGGTCGGGAATTGCTCGAATTGTTCTCAATGGGCGTGGGCATGGACGGACAACCCAACTACTCAGAAGAAGATGTGCAGGAAGCGGCCCGCGCCTTCACCGGCTGGACCATTGACGACGACAATGTGGCGAGCATTCCCTACGGGAAAACACCATGGCGGTTCCGCTACGATCCCGCCGACCACGACGATGGGCACAAGACTTTTCTCGGTGAAACCGGAGCCTTCGACGGCGATGACATCATTGACATCATCTGCCGCCAGCCGGCTACCGCACGGTTCATCAGCCGCCACTTGTACAACTTCTTTGTCGCCGACGATGTGCAGGTTCCCGGCTGGCAAAATACACCGCCAGCCGACCCTGAGGCCATTGCCGCGCTGGAAGCGGAATACTTCCGTTCCGGTTACGACATCCGGTCGATGCTGCGCCTTCTGTTCACTGCCGATTTTTTCAAGTCGGAGACCGCCCGGTTTGCGCGGGTTAAGTGTCCAGCAGAGGTGGTGGTAAGCACCTTGCACCTGGCGGGAAGGCTAAAATTCCCGGAGGTGTCTGTATGTTTGTGTCTGGCGCGGTGCGCTGAGTGCCCCGTTACATGAACCAGGATCTGCTCAACCCGCCATCGGTGGAGGGCTGGCACACTGGCAAGGAATGGATCGACAGCGGGAGCATGGTCGAGCGCATCAACTTCGTTGCCGACGAACTCGGAAATGCCGACCATCCCGGCGTTCGCGCCATTGTAGATCACCTGCTGGACCAGGGTTTGACACTATCCCCCGCTGACATAGTGGAAGGCTGTCTGGATCTGCTGGGTTGTTATGCACTCCGGGACGAAAATCGCGACGCGCTTATTGTGCAGGCTGGCGAGGCTCTGAGCGACACCACGGTGTCAACCGACCTGCCAGATGGTCGGGTGGCAACAGAGGCGGTAATCCTGAACACGCTGCGCATGATTGGCGCTACCCGCGAGTACCAGTTCGCCTAGCATCACGACTGTTGGTGGACACGGCCATGGTCATCAGATTGGAATCCATACCGTCCGCGGCCGCCCGTTGCATGAGCGACGAGGCGCTGTTGCTGGCGCCAGCGGCAGACCGCCTGGCGCGGGACAAGTTCGCGGTGCGCGCGGCCGGCTATGACACCGCCGCCGAATTTCCCGCTGAAAACTACATAGACCTGCAAGACTCCAATCTGCTCACCTTGCGCGTGCCCGTCGAGTACGGTGGACATGGCGTCAACCCGTTGACGTTCGCAATGTGCATTTTAGCAGTGGCGCGCGGTTGTCCCTCAACCGCGTTGACGCTCACCATGCACACCAACGTGCTCGGTTCATTCGTTGCCGGACTGGGGACGCCCGAGCAATGCTGGCGCTATTTCGGAGAAGCCGTCAAATTTGGCCGTCTCTTCGCCTCCATTACCAGCGAGCCCGGAGCATCCGCTCGGGAGCGGTTTGTCCTTTCAACCACGTTCACTCCGAACAGTTCTGGTGGATATCGGGTTGAGGGAGTGAAACATTTTTGCTCCCTGGCCGATGCCGCTGATTATTTCTTTGTGTCCGGTATCGTCCGTGGTAGTTCCGGAGGCGCTGACAATATCATTTCGGCAATGATTCCGGGCGATTCCAGCGGCGTATCTGTTACCGGCCAGTGGGATGCTGTGGGATGCGAGCAACGGCCAGCCACAGCGTTAGCTACGATACCGAGGTGTCGATTGGCGAGGTGTTTGGCCCGCCGGGTCGCCTGTTGACCGCCGATTGGGGAAGTTTCTCGTTGGGGTATGCGGCGGTGTATCTGGGTATTGCCGAGGCGGCCTACGAATACATTACCGAGTATGCCAGCAGTCGTACCTGGACCCCGGACGGCGAAACCATCATCCACCACCCGGTTACGCAGCGCACCGTTGGCGAAATGAGCATCGCCATCCAGTCGGGTCGTTTGATGCTGATTGACGCTGCGTTGACCGACCGCGAGGCGGATCCAACGGCTGCAGTCCTGGCGGTGAATCGGGCCAAGCAGCATTGCGCTGAGGTTTGGTGTAGCGGTGACCGATGCCGCGATGCGACTGGCTGGCGGAGGCGGGCTGCTGAAGTCATCCCCACTGGAGCGGTTGCGTAGGGATGCCCTGTCCGGCCCGGTGATGCCGCCATCCAACGACCGTTGCCTGGAAACCATCGGCAAGTTGGAGTGCGGACTACCGGCGATTACAGTCGAATTGTCCTGAGAATCTGCAACCGCACGAGGTTTGGGAAATGACCACGGTTGTCGAATACCCGCTGTCCGTTGCTGGCCTGTACCAGTACCACGACGTGATCGGCCTGTTGTCGGGCGGCGGTCCGGGATTCAGCGGTCCGGTTGCGGTGGCGCTTGGTCCCGATGGTTTGCTGCACGTTGCCAGTCGCGCCAATCCCAACCAGCCTGAAGCGGTGCGGGTAACGCGATGCACTTTGGACGGCGATTACGTTGGCGAGTTCTGCGGTTGGGGGGAAGCGCCGGGCCAGTTCATATGGACCACCGCCATTGTCTTCGGTCCGGACGGCAACCTGTATCTGTCTGACGAACACACTCATCGTGTCAGCGTATTTACCCCGGAGGGTCACTTTGTGCACTGCTGGGGTACATTTGGCGTCGGACCCGGAGAACTGAACCGGCCTTCGGGTTTAGCATTTGAAACCTTCCGGGCACTTGCTCGTGGTGGATTCTTTTAATCACCGGGTGCAGCGTTTCACGTCAGACGGAACGTTTGTCCGTGAGTGGGGCGAACCCGGCGAAGGGGCTGGACAATTCCGAATGCCCTGGGGTGTAGCCGTCGATCAAACCGGCGACGTGTACATCTCCGACTGGCGCAACGACCGGGTCCAGAAGTTCAATCCGGAAGGCAACGTGATTGCCATATTCGACGGGCGCGACGGTGGAGACGGGTTCAGCCGTCCAACGGTCTGGCTGTGGATGGCGAGGGGCGTACTTACGTGTGCGACTGGTGGAATGATCGGGTGCAGGTGCTGAATTCATCGGGTCAGGTCGTTGACACGCTGGTGGGCCATTCTGGTACATCGAAATGGGCGCGCACCTTTCTGGACGCCAACCCGGACATCGAGGAAAAACTAAACGCCGCCACCCAAAACATCGGTTTGAAGCGACGATTCTACCGCCCAACTGCGGTAACCATTAGCCAAGATGGCCTGGTGTTAGTGGCAGATTGCTATCGGCACCGAGTGCAGATTTACCGACGATTGTAAGGAGAATGTGATATGACCAGCCACAACGGAAGCAACGGGACAGCACAGCAAGTCGGCTCCACCGTCCTGGTGGTGATGATGGAAGTGGACAAGGCCGACGATGAAGTGTTCAACAAGTGGTACAACGAAGAGCACGTGCCCGAAAGGATGGCTATACCCGGATACATCAGCGCCCGGCGGTTCGAGTTGGATCCCGACGATGATCAGGCCAACAACGTGATGCGCTACCTCTGCATCTGGGAGTTGGAGAACGACAGCCCGTTGCAGTCGCAGTTGTACAAGGATCAGAACGCCAGGCCCACGCCCACCAAGGAAGCGGCCGGCGCCGTGGTGAAGCAGCGGGCGCGGGGGTTGTACCGGCAGATATTCCCGGCCGTTGGGGGGTACTCCGACCGTGCCGGCTATACCTATCCGGACGGGACTAAAATCGCCGCCGCCTAAATCCTGGTCAGTCGCAGCAACGCGCCGATATCCTGTTCTTCTTCCAAGCGCCACAACCGGCCGAGCAGTTCCTCGGTTTGGTCTGGCGCCAGCAGGTCGGCGCACAATCCGCGGAACTTGGTTTCCACCTCAGCGTCGGCCATCGGGTTCAGGTGGTGGCCGCGGAAGTGGGCAACTTCGGCGCTGTAGGTCTGACCGCCGCGCATACTGAGATCGACGTTGCACAGCATCGCCTCGGGAACCCGCCGGTTGGCTTCCTCTGATACGTCGATGCGTGTACGGCCAATAAGCGACGCCAGGCCGGGGTCGTTGATGTGTTCGTCGGCGAAGTGGCTTTGGTTCAATCCGTCGTAGGTGAGGGCGACGGCGGTGGCGTAGGGCATGCTGTGGTCGGCGGTTTCACGGGTCTTGGGATGCCATTTCTCGTCGTCGCCGGCCATGATGTCGATGGCCTTTTGCAGCGTGCGGATGTGGACGTCTTCAACATCGTCGACACGAAAATCGGGCGCCTGACGGCGGGCTGAGAGGACGGCCTCCACCACGGTTTGGGAATACAGTCCGAGGGCAAACTGTTTGATGCTGCACTCGTGAACCTTGAACGGCTGGCCCTGGTCGCCGCCGAAAGGATCGAGTTGGTAGGGTGCTTTGGTAACCGCGGCGAAGAAACTGTCCCACCTCAAAAACCTGGATGTGCGGTGAAGACGCTTCGGACAGCAATGAGCGAGCAGAACACGGCGTTGCGGCTGGCGTTGGCGTAAGCACAACCCTTCCAGTGGGAGAGCACACCGACGCGGGTTTGTCCGAGCGCCAAGTTGGGCGTGATGCCCAGTTCAGACACTCCTTTGTCTGTTCACAGAAACCCCACCGCACCGCGCATGTGCCGATGGAAATCTGGCAAAATCGCTCCTATTGTACACAGTGGTCCGAACCTATGTAACCCATACTAAAGGCATCATCCAAACCCTGCAGAACCCTTCATTAACGCCACGCGGTGGCGGTGGTGAGGACGACGAGCCACCACACCGCGCCCACACACAATCTCGGCGCCGGCCAACGTGGCAGCGATGCTGTCGCTGGGATGGCCGGATTCCAGGGCGGTGTAGCCGTCGTTGAAATCGAGGTACCGGATCATCACGCCGTTGGCGAAGGTGGCCAGTTCGGGGCTGGAAGACAGCCCGCTCCCGATGATGGTGCAGGGACGGCGGCTGCTGACATCATACTCCGCAGGATCGCGCGGAAGTCATATTGCCTTGGGCTCAGCGGTGTAACCGCCCACGGCGCAGCCGATGCTGTCGATAATCATTCTTTTGAGTAAATGGACGGTGTCGGCGGGCAGATCGCCATAGTGCAGGTTGGCGGCGGACATAATGGCTACGTATGTCGACGCGATGACGGCATGGTTTCCCTCAACTCCAGGTTGGGGTGATTATGCCAGAAACGCCAGGTTGACGCTGTTTTTACGCAACGTGCGCAGGCCGCGATTCACAATCCAGCAGCGAGTTTCCGGCGTGGGCGCCGACTCTGCCAGCCACCGTGAGCCACTGCCGTGGTCCACTCTGGCGTCGATTTGCTGGCGTCGTTCAGCCAGTTGCCCACCGCGGTCTGCACGTATCGCGAAGTATCGGAACGGACGGGTTCCAGCAGGACGAGCGCCGGCGATGGGTTGGCTTTGAGTTCTACGATGTGAGATGTCCAAACGCCCATCGGGCGGGTGCCCTCCACGGCGCACCGCCGGACGTTAGGGTCTGCGTGCGTTACCCAGCATTGCAACAGAGGCAAGGCAACCGAGAGGTCCGTGGCAATGTAAGGGCGGAAAGAATCCCAGGCGCACTCCCGCACCGACGCAGCCCGGTCAGCAGCGAATCGCATCGCCTGGTCGAGTCGGTTGCCGAGCGGTAGATCAGTGTCGGCCGTCAGCGAGTAGGCAGCCCAAGCTCGCGCCATATCGGAAGTGTGGGTGGCCAGGGCCAGATATACCGCGTCGCGTTGTTCCAGATTATGCACGGCGTCGTGGAACGCTCGCCCCATCTGCCGCATGCGGGTGGTGATGCCGTGGTCGGCCAGTTCCGCCGCGCGATTCACCAGGGCAGCCGTTTGTTCCTCCAGCCCAACCTGCGGCGCAACGTGGCCCACCAGGGTGGCCATATCGATAGCCAGCCACTCGACCAGCGTAACCGTCTCGTCGCGGCCCTCGTTCAATGTGGACAACACCCCTGCCGGGATGTCGGCCCGGCGTGAGGCGCCCTTGCGTCGGAAACCAGGCATTCGAGCTGCTAGCCTGCCGGCTCCCGCCGCCAGAAAGCGTCCACCGCATGCAGGTAATTGCGCAACAGGTCGTGTCCGACTTTGGTCATGATGGATTCCGGGTGGAATTGGACTCCCTCCACCGGATATTCGGTGTGGCGCACGCCCATGATCAGGCCGTTATCCGTGCGAGCCGTAACCTCAAGACAGTCCGGCAGAGTTTCGGGATAGATGACCAGGCTGTGGTAGCGGATCGCCTCGAATGGATCGGTAATCCGGCGAAAACACCCTTCCCGTCGTGGTGCACCATCGAGGTTTTTCCGTGGCGTATCTCGCCGGCCCGGTCCACAGTAGCCCCATAGGCTTCGCCGATGCACTGGTGTCCCAGGCACACGCCCAGCACCGGCAACTTCGCTCCGAAGTGACGGATGACATCGTTGGAGATTCCTGCCTCGCTTGGGGTGCAGGGCCCCGGTGAGATGACAATACCTTCCGGCGCCATTCCTTCAATGTCCTCGATGGTGGTTTTGTCGTTGCGGATGACGGTAACGTCGGCCCCCAGCTCTGAAAGATACTGATACAGGTTGTAGGTGAAGCTGTCGTAGTTGTCCAGCAGCAGCAGCATCAGTACAGCTCCACCAGTTCCAGCCAGTTGCCGTCAGGGTCCTGGCAGTAGAGGGCCTTGCGGAGCAGCTTGCCGCTCTCGTCGTGCATGGCCACCGGCGGCGTGCCGTAGTCCACGCCCCGCTCGCGGGTGTCGGCGTAGAAGCGGTCAATATCTTCCACGAAGAACGCCAGATGAGTGGCGCGGACGTTGTTTTTGTCGAATTCGGCCACGCCGCCAACCGGGTTGATGTACTGGATGAGTTCCAGCTGGTGGCCTTCGCCCATATCGAGAAACGCGCCGCGTATATGAGTGTTGGGGAAGCCGAGCAGCGTGCTGGGAAATTCTCCGGTACGTTCGGTACGGCCGGTGAGGGTGAGGCCCATGACGTCAGAGTAGAAACTGACGGCGGCGTCCAGGTCTTTGACGACGAATCCGGTATGGAATAGTGATTTCAGCATGGTTGCCTCCGTGTAGCATCCGGCTGGTTGCAGACTTTGGTGGTCATCAACTTCCGGGCGATCCCTCGGCGATGTCGATGGCGCGCATCATGGCGCCGGACTTGTGGCGGGTCTCCATATATTCATCCTCGGCAACGCTGTCGGCCACCACGCCTCCGCCGGCTTGCACGTACATTATTCCGTCCTTGAATACCCCGGTGCGCAGTATGAGGGCGGTGTCCATGTTTCCGTTGTAGCTAAAGTAAGCTACGGCTCCGCCGTAGGGCCCGCGACGCTCCGCCTCCACTTCGGCGATGATTTCCATGGCGCGGATTTTGGGGGCCCCGGACACCGTGCCGGCCGGGAAGCAGGCGCGCAGTGCGTCATAGGATGTCATGTCATCGCGCAACCGACCCTCCACGTGGGACACCAGGTGCATCACGTGGGAGAAACGCTCCACGTCCATAAACTGGGTTACGCTGACCGTGCCGGGCACGCTGACACGCCCGATGTCGTTGCGACCCAGATCCAGCAGCATGATGTGTTCCGCCTGCTGTTTTTCGCTGTTGCGGAGTTCGTCCTCCAGCGCCGCATCTTCCGCCGTGGTCTGGCCGCGGGGACGGGTGCCGGCAATGGGATGCGTGGCAACGATTTTCACACCGGGCGGGCCATCTTCGACTTTGGCCACGGTTTCGATGGCGGCGCCGACTATCTGGAACCCGTTCAGATCCAGGTAGTACATGTACGGCGACGGATTGTTGCCGCGCAGCGCCCGGTAGATCTGGAAAGGATGCGCGTCAGTCTGGCGGCTAAAACGCTGTGAATTCACCACCTGAATGACATCCCCGGCGTAGATGTATTCGACACACTGTTCCACGATCCGCTCATACTCCGCAACCGTAAAATTGGAATTTACCTCGCCGCCGGTGCGCAACGCGGGTGTGCGCGTCAGCTCGGCAGGCAGCTCCAACGGGCGGGCCAAACGGTCCACCATGCGTTCAATCCTGGCGAATGGCTTCGGCATAGGCGGAATCCACATCGCCGTCCAGACGGGCGTGGCTCACCACCTTGATGTCATGCCGAAGGTGGTCGAACACCAGCAGGGTATCGGTGAACATGAACACTGATTCGGGCAGCCCCTGCGGGTCGGCATCCAGCATGGGTACCCGTGGCTCAAAGTAGTGCACGGCGTCGTAGGCAACGTAACCCACGCCACCGCCGTGGAAAGGCGGCAACCCCTCGATCGGGATCAGCTGGTATCGGCCCATCTCCTGTTCAACGAGTGTCAACGGGTCGACGCAACCAGAAGGTTGGTCGGCGCCGGTGCTGAATACGTCATAGGGCTCGGTGCCGATGAAGCTGTAGCGGCCCAAACGCTCCCCGCCGGCGACCGACTCCAGCAGGAAGGAATAGGGCGGGCGGGCAACTTTCAGATACGCGGACACCGGAGTTTCCAGGTCGGCGTTGATGGTGCGATACACGGGGCACAAGTTGCCCTGGCTCGCCAGAGCGCGAACTTGGTCAAGCGTCGGTTGGTACATATTCCTCGGGGCGCCGGGATGTGAGTCGGGTCAGGGCGATACGCCAACAAAAAAAGCCCGTCCCTGCGGGACGAGCCAAACGGTCGCGGTGCCACCCTGCTTGCCAAAGCTCCTCGGACATGGGAAGGGCCACGGCTTCTCAACCGGCGACGCAACCATGTACTTGGGAATACCCGAGTGGGAAATGTCCGGCTGCGTGCCGCAGGCTACTAACGTGGCCCAAACGTCCCGCCCTACTGCGCCGTTTTAATGGCGGTTCAGGAGGCGGCTCCGGAGTCCATTCAGCGTCTGCGCCTGGCGCCGGTTCTCAGCAAACCCGGCTCTCTGAGCCTCGCTGCACGCCTACTAATCCCCTTCGTAGCCTTTGATCATTCAATTTTCGGATTCAGTATATGAGCCGCCCGCTGAGAGTGTCAACGAGCCGAGCGTCGCCTTGGCCCATTCGAGTGTCCGGTAAAACAGAAATCCCCACTCGCCCTGTGCCTGTCGAACGGCCACCCACTCGTGCTCCCACAGTCCTGCGACCAACCGACTACCCAGAAGGCTGCCGACAATCTCGAATGAACACGGACGACGCCTGACGCCCCCATTGTTGCGGTGAATCAGCGAGGCGATTACGGTGTCAGCAGAACCTTGCCGGTCGTTTCGCGACCTTCCAGACGGCGGTGCGCTTCGGCAGCGTCAGACAGAGGGAGGTTCAGGGTAACATTCAGTTTGATTTCGCCGGACTGCACCCACGCCAGACATTCTTCAGCCCGGCGCAGGAGCTCGGGTCGAGTGGCCGTGTAGTCGCCCAACGACGGCCGAGTGAGATACAGCGAGCCGTTCCGCAACGCTCCTGAATCGACCAACCCGACCGGCCCACTGGCCTGTCCGTAGAGGCACATGCAGCCGCGTTGGTCCAGAACGCGCAGGCCCTTTTCAAACGTGGTTTGTCCCACCGCGTCGAAGATAATCTTGACCCCTTTACCGTCGGTAAGCCGGCGAACCTCAGCTTCAAAGTCCTGCTGAGTGTAGAGAATGACGTCATCTGCTCCCGCGCCGCGCGCCATTTCAGCTTTCTCGCCAGTGGACACGGTGGTGTAGACGTGCACCCCCAGGCGTTTGAGCATCTGGATGACCAGCAGACCCATGCCGCCCGCCCCGGCGTGCACCAGCGCCCGGTCGCCCGAATGCAGCGGCATGATGTCGTGCACCAGGAAATGGGCGGTCATGGCCTGCAACAGGGTGGCCGCGCCGGTGGGAAAATCCATATTGTCGGGAATCTTCACCAACAGCCAGGATGGGACGGCCTGCTGTTCGGCATAGGAGCCAGTGTGCATGGCGTAGGCGACGCGATCGCCCACGGCGACTTCGGTTACGCCGGGGCCGACGGACACCACTACGCCGGATGCTTCCCGCCCGGGGGTCCAGGGGAAAGCGGCCGGCGGGTTGGTTCCTTTGCGGCTGGACACGTCGGTGTAGTTGACGCCAATGTTGCGGATGTCAATGATGGCCTGCCCAGCCGCCGCCGTGGGTTCGGGAATATCTTCGTATTTCAGCACATCGGGCGCGCCGACTTCGTAGGCTCGGATGCCTTTCATAACAGTACCTCCAATGTACTTTTGCCTGTTTACGTCTGCCTGTGTGCGCCAGCCCGGATGCAGGTGGTTAGCCGACCACGGTCGGTTATCCGCCAAGGACGGACGCCATTCCGGTTATGTTAGCGATGGTTTCGATGTTGCGGAAGCTGCTGACGGCTTCGTCGATGTGGTCGGCCGGCAGTATGTAACGCGTGCAATACAGGAATTTCGCCTCCAGTTCGTCCGCATCCAGCGGCATGGCGGGCGTCCCGCGGGCGTGGTCGACCCGGTGGTGAAAGGTTGTGCCGTCGTTCAGCGTTACGCGCACCTCCGCCGGATGCACGGACAACGGCGACGAGGGGAGCGAGGCCTCTACCGACACCTTTTCCATCATTGCCCGCACGCCCTCATCTTGGATTGCCGGTTCTGAGAAGAAGTTGATAAGGGGTTGGCCGTGGCACAGAGTCGCCGCCGCGATAAAACCCAGACAACTCCGCGCCTGCCACGCATCGGTCGGCAGAACATACGGCAATTGTGAAAGCGTGTCGGCGGTTACCCCGACGTGCAGGTTTTTGACCTGGTCGGGTTGGACTCGGTGGAGCTGCGCTACTCCGATGGTCGCGTCTATGACGCTATGACTCGCGGGATTGCACGGATACAAACGGAGCGACACCCCCGGTTCGGTGAGTCGCCATCGCTCGCCCAACCCGGCCACGGCGTGTTGATCGAACACTGGAGACGTTGACGCTTGAACCAGCGCGGATTCGCTGGCCGATTCGCCGATTCCCGCGTTTGCCATTAACGCCGCCATCGTCCCATTCATCGCGGCGCGGCCGCCGGTGGCCAAGGCGGTAGTACCGGCTGTGGAATAGGTAACCTGCCCATCCGCAATGCCGGCGGCGATGCTGATGGCGTTCGCCACGCCGTCTGCGTCCATTTCCAACAGAGCGGCGGCTGCGGCTGCGGCTGCGATTGCGCCGGCCGAGTTTGAGGTTGCGGATAGTCGGACGGCAATCTCGCAACCGGCGACAAACGCTGATAAAACTTTCGATCCGGGGATGCCGTACATCTCGCCCAGCGCCATCACCGTTGGGAACACGGCGGCAGTTGCGTTGTAGCCGGTGTCCGTCGCGTGGTCGTCGTAGTCGAGCATCCGCACCAGCGAGCCGTTGACCAGCGCGGCGTAGACGGGGGACGTGCGCATTCCCATCCCGATGATGGTGCAGCGTCCGTTGCCCCCCATCTCGCGGACGAAACGGGTCAGGGCGACGCCATCGGGGTGGGCTGCACCGGCCAGCGCGGCGGCGGCGGCGTTCAGCATCATGTCCCGACACTGGCCAGTTACTGCCGACGGCAGGCCGGCGGGGTCCCCGGTGATATCAGCAGTGAATTCGGCGAGGTTACGGGCAACGTCCATAGTGGAGATACTCATTGAAACTACGGGTTTAAAGATACAGGGAACCTGAACTTGCGACACCGATTTGAACCAAGCATACTGGCAAGACGGCCCACAGCGCAACGACGCGGTATCGGCCTGAACCGTCCACGAGTCACGCGCACTCACTTTAATCTGTCATTGGGAGGAGCGCCCGCTCATCCCGAGCCTGTCGAGGGACGTGGCAATCTCGATGCGGTTAAACACACGTCGGCGAACCGCCGTTGCTACGGCGACGAGATTGCCACGCTACGCTCGCAATGACAAAGTGGGTAGGCATGGAAAATGTGTACGCATCAGCCGTCCACGATGCTTGCGTTGCCCGCCGACTTTTGCCAAACTGCGGGCCAGCAAACCAATGGCGGGCGAATTCGGGTCGGAGGGGAACCATGGCCACCACCACTAGCGGGTCTGACTCGGTGGAAACACGCATCTACGACGTGGCCATCGTTGGCGGTGGCATCATTGGGTTGTCTACAGCGATGCAACTGCTGGAACGCTCGCCCAACCTGAGCGTGGCAGTGATGGAGAAAGAACCGGAGTTGGCGCGCCACCAGACTGGCCATAACAGTGGGGTCATCCATTCGGGGATTTACTACCGGCCCGGTTCGTGGAAATCCCGTTTTTGCGTTGGCGGAAAAGACCGTTTGATTGAATTTTGCGACCAGAACGAGATTGAATACGACGAATGCGGCAAGGTTATCGTGGCCACCCACGAGAGCGAATTGGGTCGTCTGCAGGACTTGTACGAGCGTGGTGTGGCTAACGGCGTGCCCGACCTGGAGGTGGTCGATTCGGAACGATTGACTGAGATCGAACCTCACACCGTGGGCGTTCGGGCTTTGTGGGCGCCACACACCGGCATCATCGACTACACCCAGGTGGCGCGGGCTTACGCTGGCAAAGCCCAGGGTTCCGGCGGCGATATTTTCACCGCCGCGGCGGTCAAATCGGTGCGGCAAACTACCGACGGGAATGCGCTGGAAACTGACCGCGGGACGCTCCAGGCTCGACACGTCATCAACTGCGGTGGACTTTATGCAGACCAGTTGGCGCGCATGATGGGCGAGGATACCGACGTGCGGATAATTCCCTTTCGCGGCGAGTATTATCAACTGGCCGAGGCCAGTGAGCAGCTGGTGAAAGGCCTCATTTATCCAGTGCCAGATCCGAGGTTTCCTTTCCTGGGCGTGCATTACACGCGGAGCATCCACGGCTACGTGGAAGCCGGCCCCAATGCGGTGCTGGCATGGGCGAGGGAAGGTTATCGCAAAAGCGATATCAGCATCAGCGAAACGATGGGCGCGCTGACTTTTCCCGGCTTTTGGAAGATGACCGCCAAACACTGGCGCACCGGAATGCAGGAAATGCACCGTTCTTACCGTAAGTCGGTATTCGTGAATGACCTCCGCAAGTTGATACCCGAGATTCAGCCCTCTGACCTGGAACCCGGTGGCAGCGGAGTTCGCGCACAGGCTGTGGCGGCAAACGGAGCATTGCTTGACGATTTTCACATCCTGCGAGGCCAACGCGCGCTGCACGTCCTGAATGCCCCGTCGCCCGGCGCAACATCATCGCTGGCCATCGGCGAATACCTGACCGATCTGGCGCTGGAAGATTTTGGACTGCAGACCGGTTAGTTGCTACCGGATCGAATTTCGGCGCAGACGATGGGCGTGGTCGATTGTAGGCCCGGATACCCCGGTGTATAGTTAACTAACTTTTTGGATTTGTCCCATATTTTGTTATATCCTACGGACATCATTGTGCAGAAGACAAGCGTACATTTGGGATGCTGGGAAGTCTCCGGCAGCAGCGCGCGGCAATATCTTGCTGCGGTTGGCGACGAATTGCCGGTTTACGAAGATGCAGGATTCGCACCGCCTCTTTCGCTGGCGGCCCGGGTGGTGAGCTTGCTGCTAGATCGGTTGTCGCTGCCCGACGGAGCCATCCACAGCCTGCAGGATATTGAGACGTTGCAGCCAGCGTGTATCGGTTCCAGGGTAGCGGCGGTGGCTGATGTTGAACCACTTCGCGAGCGGGGAGGTATGCGCTTCCTTACGGTCAATTTTGCAGTGGCCGATGCCGATTCCGCTAACGCGTTGCTCCGCGGCCGTACCACCGTTCTGCTGCCCGAAGATGGAGAACCGTCCGATGCCAGTTAGCGTGACTCAGCAGACGGCCCTTCCCATCACCGTTGGCGGCTCGCTGGCGGGAGTAGAACGCACCATCTCACAGGAACAGATTGACGCTACCGCGCGGTTTCCGGAGACAACAATCCCCTGCATTACGATGCCGAGTTCGCGGCAACCACCCGTTTCGGTGGCGTGATCGCCCACGGAATGCTCACGCTGGCGTTGGTGTCGGAGATGATGGCCGGCGCTTTCGGCGTGCACTGGCTCATCAGTGGTGGATTGAGGGTGCGGTTTCGTGGCGCCGCTTATCCCGGCGACCGGCTGGAAACCGTGGGCACTGTTACCAAAGCTGAATCTGATGGCGAAGTTAATCGCGTGACCTGCAACGTGTCGGTGCTGAACGCGGATACAGCCGAACAAATTCTGTCCGGAACGGCGACGGTTCGCATTGCCGCAAAACCTGAATGAACCATCTGCCACTATGACCATTACCAACAACAACGATCCCGTCCGCGTGGCGCTGGACGCTATGGGCGGCGATTATGGGCCATCAGTTATAGTACTGGCGCACTAATGGCGCTGGCCGCCGAACCGCAACTCAGCATCACCCTCGTCGGTGACCCGGATGTCGTCCATGCGGAACTCGCCCGGCACGACGTGCGCGGTCTGGCTATTGGTGTGGCCCCATCGGAGGGGAAAATTACCGACGACGAGCATCCGGTGTCGGCGTTGCGACGCAAGCCCCGTTCGTCGATAGTAGTCGCCACGCAACTGGTGAAACACGGTGATGCAGACCTGGTGGTGTCCATGGGCCCCACCGGCGCCAGCATGGCCACCGCAGTGATGGGGATCGGCCTCCTGGAAGGCTTGGAACGCCCGTGCATCGGAGGGAATTTTCTGGGGCTGTCGCCGAACATTACCCTGGTCGACCTGGGGAGCAACGTGGATTGCCGGCCGTCGTTGCTGCTGAGCTTCGCGGCTATGGGCGTTGCTTTCTCGCGCCGCCTTTTGAACATTGACAATCCTCGGGTGGCGCTCCTCAGCGTGGGTGAGGAAGCGGCCAAGGGAAACCGGCAGGTTCAGGAGAGCCACGCGGTTTTCAACGACAGTTATCTCAATTTCGTTGGCAATGTTGAAGGGATGGATTTCTTCAACGATAAAGCCGACGTGATAGTTTGCGACGGGTTTATCGGCAACATTCTCATCAAGTTTACCGAGGGTTTCGGGTCGGCGCTGCGACCATACCTGGAGAATCATCTGGCCACGCTGTTGCCACCCGATCAACTGGATCGGCTGGCCGACGCGCTGTGGGACACAACCAACAAAGCGCGCACCATGGGCGGTCCTTTGTTCGGATTGGACGGTTTGGTGTTGGTTGGTCACGGATCAGCCGGCCCGGAAGGTGTCGCCGGCGCGATTGATACCGGTATTCTGTCCCACCGGATTGACCTGGTGGAGGCTTTCAGGCAAGAATTGTCGGAGCTACAGCGGACGGGCCCGCTCGAACGCTAAAGGAATGGGAAATGTACGCCATTGACCTGAGCGGGCAGAGCGCCCTTATAACCGGCGCTTCAAGGGGTATTGGCTCCGTGATTGCCAGACGGTTGGCGGACGCCGGCGCAGCGGTGGCTATCAACTACCGGAGCCGGGGAGCAGAGGCTGACGCGGTGGTGGATTCAATACGAAACTCTGGCGGCCACGCCATTCCGGTGCCGGGCGATGTGTCGGACGAGGCCGCCGCCGAGGTGGTGGTCAAAAGCGCGGCTGAACAGCTGGGCCGCCTGGACATCCTGGTTAATAACGCCGGTATTAACCGCGACCGATTGCTGATGCGCATGTCCGTGTCCGACTGGGACGAAGTGCTGTCGGTCAATCTGAGGGGCACGTTTTTGCCAACTCGGTTCGCGGTGCCGTTGATGGTGCGTCAACGGTACGGAAGGATTGTCAATATTTCATCGGTGGTGGGGCTGTCGGGCAATCCCGGGCAAGCCAACTACGCAGCATCCAAGGCGGGTCAGATTGGCTTTGCCAAGGCAGTGGCCCGCGAGGTCGCCAGCCGGAACATCACCGTAAATGCAGTGGCTCCGGGTTTCATCGAGTTCGAGGATACGGGCGGCATGACCGCCGGCCTGACCGACGAGCAACGACAACAGATTTTGACCCGAATTCCGGCGGGCCGGTTTGGGTCGGCCGACGACGTGGCGGCAGCGGTTGTATACCTGGTCAGCCCCGGCGCCAGCTACATCACGGGCCAGACTCTGACCATAGACGGCGGCCTGATCGCCTGAATGCCATGCGTCGTTACTCTGGCGGTCGTGACTCTGGCCGTAGTGCCAGGCGTAGTTAGAGATTAACGCATCCTATGAGCGGAGGAATTCGGAATGCGAGCCACCACACGATTTCGCCAATTGCTGTCCGAGCCTGGCATCATCACGGCGCCGGGCGCTTACGACTGCCTGACTGCCGCCATCATTGAGAAGGCCGGATTCCCGGCAGTCTATATGACCGGCGCCGGCACCTCGGTGGCGCGCATCGGCTACCCAGATCTGGCCTTGGCCACCGCCACCGAAATGCAGGCGAACGCCGCCGCCATCTCCGCAACGGTGAATGTTCCCGTCATTGCCGACGCCGACACCGGTTATGGCGGCACGATGAATGTGCGCCGCACCATCCGCGAGTACGAACGGACGGGAGTCGCCGCAATCCACATCGAAGACCAGCAGTTCCCCAAACGGTGCGGCCATCTCGAGGACAAACGCGTCGTGTCCATCGACGAGATGGTGCAGAAAATTCGCGCCGCTGTTGATGCCCGCACAGATGAGGATTTCACCATCATAGTGCGTACCGACGCCCTGGCGGTTACCGGTTGGGACGATACCCTGCGCCGCTGCGAGGCATTTACGGCGGCCGGCGCTGATGCCCTGTTCGTGGAGGCCTTGCGCTCGCCTGAAGAAGGCGCCGACATCGTGGCCGCAACTTCAGTGCCATTGCTGTACAACTTCGTTGAAACTGGCAAGTCACCGCTGCTGAATGTAGCTGAGTTGGAACGGATTGGATTCAAAATGGTTATATTCTCCGGGAGCGCGTTCATGGCCGTTGCACACACCGTTGCCCGGGTGATGGCAGAACTAAAGGTCACCGGGACGACGGAGCATCTGGTCGGCGAAATGACCACGCTGACCGACGCCTTTGAGTTGATGGGTCTTACGGAGATGCTGGAACGCGATGCCGGTTATGCCGCCGCCACAGTTGCCGACTAAACACGCATGAGCCGGGCAACCCCAATTTAGGCGCGTCTGGATGCGTGACGAATCTTCCAACGCCGACCCTGCCGTTGCCCGGAGCAATCGGGCTGAATTCAACCGAGGCCTGAGAGTCGAAGTGGAGACCTGGCGGGACGAAGGGTTAATTTCGGGTCAGCAGGCCCGGTCAATACTGGCGCGATATCCAGAATATGTGCCGGCAGCAAGCAACCCCTTGGGCCTTCGGGTTATCTCCGTGATGGCGATCATGGGCGCCGTTCTGATCGGTCTGGGAATAATCGCGGCAGTGGCGGCCAACTGGTCAGCGATCCCGGCGCTGGCAAAAGTCGCCCTGATGGCCATCGGAACGCCGGTGTTGTACGTCATTGGTTGGGTGTTGGCGTACCGTTTGCCCTACCCGCGTATCGGTTTGGCGATCATCCTGTCCGGAACCATTGCCTACGGCGCCTCGGTGCACCTGATAGCCCAAACTTATCATGTTCCGGTGAACCATCCCAACCTGGTTGCGGTGTGGTTCGTCGGCGTGATTCCACTGGCCTATATCGCCCGCTCCAAATCGGTGTTAGTGCTAGCCCTGGCGTTATTCGTGGCAGCATCCGGATTCCGGTCCCAGGAATGGTTCCCCGACTTTGATGAAGAAGGGCTGTTTTTCATGCCGGCCCTGTATCTGGCTTTGGCGGCGGCACTGATAGGACTCGCTCCATGGCAGAAACACAGTCGTTACACGGCTCCGTTTTCAACCATCTATGTAACTTCCGGGCTGGTATTGTCAGTGGCGGCGATTTACGCGATGAGTTTTGATGGTTTTTGGACCGCCGTTGCGCGGGACCACCTGGACCGCGTCGCCCTGGTGTGGCCGCGCCTTGAGTACTGGGTGGTGATGGGCGCGGCCGGCGCCGTGGCCGCAGGGTCAACATTGGCTGGGTTGCACCGTTCTCGGGGCTCCACGGGCGAAGCGATTTGGTGGGGGTCCGCGGCGGTCGGCTCGGCTGCCATCGTGGTTGTCATCGCGTTGACGGCGTTGGCGCTCGACATCGGTTGGATTTGGTGGGTTTTCAACCTGTTGATGTTGGCCGCCGTCATCGGTATGGTCGCGGCAGGCTACCGGCTGGCGCAACCCCACCTGATTAATTTTGCGGTTGCCGTATTCGCCATCACCGTGTTCACCCGTTATTTTGAGTTCGGGTTTGGTCTGCTGGGACAGTCGTTGGCGTTCATCGTCACTGGGGTTTTGTTGTTGGCGGTTGGGTTTGGGCTTGAATTGTTGCGGAGACGGATGTTGCAGCGCATCCGGATGCAAGCCGCATCATGACTCGCCTGACTACAATTCTTTTCTTCACAGTAGTTGTGGCGCAGGTGGCGGGACTGCTGGCTTTCACCGGCGTGCGCGAGGCTGCGCTGGCACGGGGACGGGAGGTGGTGTTGCAGACGGTGCCCGTGGATCCGCGGTCGCTGTTGCAGGGTGACTACGCAATTCTGGATTACGAGATACCCCATTTGCCCGGACATTTGGCCGACACACCGGTGGGGGATGTTGTTGGGCAAGTTGTTTACGTGGGTCTCCGGGAACATCGGGATATTTGGTACGCCAACGGGTATTTTGTTCACGAGGTGCCTTCCAGGGTCGATCTTTACATCCGGGGCGTCATCGACGGGCCCGATCATCTGGACTTTGGCATCGGTACCTTCTTTGTCCCGGAAGGGACGGGCGGTACCATCGAACGAGCGGATGACGTCAAGGTTGTGGCGGTACTGGACCGGAACGGTCGGGCAGTAATCAAGCAGTTGCTGGTAGACGGCCAGCCGTTCGAGCACTAGCAGTTCGATTCTGCGGAAGGTTTTCCGGCTGAGTTACACTAACGTCATCAGTTCGCCGGAGGTGAACCCAATGCCAAACGTAGTGCTGGTGGTTGACATGGTACGCGGATTCCTGGAACCGGGGCATAACCTGTATTGCGGCGATGACGCCCGCCGAATCATTGACCCAGTGCGCGACCTCCTGCGCCGGGAACACCGCGCCGGGTCCTCGATTCTGTTCATATCGGACCACCATGACCCGGACGATCTGGAGTTTCAGATGTTCCCCGTCCACTGCGTCAAGGGCACCGAGGAACCCGAGGTGATCCCGGAGCTGACCGAATGGGTTACTCCGGAGAACGTGATTCCCAAGAACCGGTACAGTGGGTTTTTCAATACCGACCTGGGCGACCGACTTGCTGCGCTGACGCCCGACCGCATTGTCGTGTGTGGCGTGTGTACCGATATCTGTGTGATGCACACCACATCTGACGCTCGCAATCGGGACTATGCAGTTGAAATTCCCGCCGATTGCGTAGCATCATTCGATGCTGACGCCCACACCTGGGCCTTGCAGCACATCACCACGATTTTGGGTGCCCGGGTCGTATGAGTTTGCCCTTCGAATAGTTTTGAGTCGAATCCCAGGCGCCTGTGTTATCATCGCCCGAATAGTTAGGAAACTCGGCTCCGATGATTGGAACCGTTCCCCGCGCCGTTCAGGCCGGAGGTCGCCAATGCTGTACCAGCGCTACCGTTATTCCCAATGGGATGGAACCCAGCAGATTTTGAAATCGATGCACGAGTAATTAATGGATGATCGCTTCCAGATTTGATTCTGCAGCAGGGCGACGTGATGCGCGCGCTGCGTGAGTTGTTCCGCAACGGGATGCAGAACCGGGACGGTTCGGAGATGCCGAACTTGCGGCAGTTGATGGAGCAGCTCAAAAATCAGCGTCGCCAGCAGTTGCAGCAAAGCAACCTTGACTCCGTGGTGGACGACCTGAAGGAACGCCTGGAAAACATCCTGAAAACGGAACGGGAGGGCATCCAGCAGCGCTTGGAAGATGCGGCCAGTCAACCTGAACCGGAGGACGCGGCCGGCAAAGAGCAGCAACGTTCATTAAACCAACTACTGCGACAGCGGGCGGAGCGGAATCTGGACCGTCTGGACGAACTGCCAGGCGACATTGGCGGCCAGATTCAGGGTTTGATGGACTACGATTTTATGGATCCGGACGCGCAGCAGAAGTTCCAGGAGCTGCTGGATATGCTGAAGAGCCAGATGGCCCAGAATATATCTGATCAGATGCGCGACCAGATGCAGAACATGACACCCGAGCAGATGGAGGCCATGCGTCAAATGATGCAGGACCTGAACCAGATGCTGCGAGACCGGATGGAAGGCCGCGATCCGGACTTTGACGGGTTTATGCAGAAATGGGGCCAGATGTTTGGCGACAATCCGCCCCAGAGTCTTGACGAACTGATGGAACAGATGCAGCAGCAAATGTCCCAGATGCAATCGCTCATGGATAGCTTGTCTGACGGGGCGCGCCAGGAACTGGAGGACGCCCTGCAATCTGCTATGGACCCCCGGTTGTCCGACGAAATGTCGGAGTTTGCCAGCTTGATGCAGTCGCTGCTGCCCCCGGGCGATTTGTCGCGCGAGTATCCGTTCCTGGGCGACGACAGTATGACTCTGGAGCAGGCGATGGACGCGATGCGCCAGATGCAGTCGCTGGATCAGCTGGAACAGTCATTGCAGCAGGCGATGCGCACCGGCAACCTGGACGACGTCGACCCGGACCAACTGGCGGAGCTCCTGGGAGAAGAGGCGCGCCGGGCGTGGGAGGAGTTGGA